GGGGGGGGGAAGAAAAAAAGCACACGTCCACCTTGTATCGTCTCCGGGTCTGTGGGAATGGTAGGGAAGGCTTGATCAGGACTCCAAGTGGTGGGAGCTGTTAAAAGGGTAGAAATGGGTTGGGTGTGAAGGCAAAGAGTGCTGTAGTAGCACAACAAAACAAGAGGGAGAGGATGGCCAGTCAGTATGAGCAATCTCCACACGCAATCACTTTAACACTCTTGTGCACAGCATAACCATCAAGGCAGATACATAGTTCATCTCCCTTCCACTTTCAATACTGCTTACTTCTATCAGACACCAGTATCTAAACTATGGGTGATGTCATTTTGAAAAAATAGCAAAAGGATATAACCTAAAAAAACAGAAAGAGAAGACAGAGGACCAACCACACATGGCTTCCCTAAAATTTCTACAGCAGCATTTGATGCCTTAACACAATTTATGGTGTAGGGGCAGAAAGAAAAAAAAGGTAAAGAATCCGAAAACAACTTTGAAGTCCTAAGGTGTAGCGCAGTCACTTCATGCTCTCTTATAGGAGCTTATTTGTGCAAATCTCATTTATACGAAGGAAAAATCTCTCATTGCACAGCAAGCACAAGTAAAAAATTCAGCATAAAGAGAAGAATTCACAGGAGACATATAATAATATTATAGTCAAATTCTCTTGAAAAAAAATTGTATGTTGGCTTTAAAACAGTTTGGACTCATCAAATTAAAATCAGAAAGAGAAGTTTTAGAACTTATATCAATTATCAAAGTTCGGTTTGCATTGATCCCACCAGGTACTTCCATTCAGACCTAAAGGTCAGAAAATTTTGATAATTCAATACTGATGATTCGCCAAAGACAAACCTCTCGTAACTCGTCAAAAAAGTTGAAATGAAAGAGTTCTGTATATTTTCAACCTGCTGGTATAAATTCTACTTATCCAAAGGAATGCACAGTTTATTTACAAGCATGAACACTTGCAAATCAAATGCCATGCATGTATTACCAAAAACGGCTAATAAAGGAAGTGGAATTTTTAAAGGAAAAGAACCAGCAACAGTGATAAATAATTATAAATTATTCTCAATTTGCCCAACAGGCCTTCCACCAAAACAAAAAGTGGAGAAAGCAAAACAGCCAAAATAGAAGAATTCAGGGGAGGGTTGGTTTCTCGGTCTCTCAGCAATCAATGTGATTGCTTCTGAACTTTGCAACAAAAACAATTTGGCAATAAAAAGAAAAGGAAAAAAAAAGAAAAAAAAGCACCAACTCAAGCAAGAATGGCAGATGCAAACCTATGAAAGGGTCGGCTCTTTCCTTTCTCAGGGCAGGGGAGGAGGGGGGTTGTGAGGGGGACAGTTTGGGGCACAAGTACATGGGATTGGCAGGGATTCTGGGAGGAACTGGGGTCTTCAGGGGCGGAAGCTTTGACAAGAAGTTGGCAATCGTGTTCGTTAAGTTTGATTCTGTTTGGACAAAAAATGACCGGCAATCTTTTCAATAATCTTTTCTCAGTCATTCCCACCACACAAAGCTTATCAGAACAATGGCAGCAAGTGTTGTCGCCTTAAGGCATCTTTAAGAAAATAGTGGGCAAGTCTTGACACAATGTCTAGCTAAAAGCAGGATATATATTTTTGTGTGTGAGGGTGGGTGCATGGAATGGGGGATCTCTAATTCAGCACCAAAACCCTCTACTTCTCTTGGACATCTCTAGACATACTGAGAACAAAGAGAATGCTGAACTAAAAACTAAAAACAAAAGCTGTTGATTATTCAAGAGGTTATCAAAAGAAGATGCACTGAGACAAAAACATTTTTTCATTCCATATGCAGCATTCCCAAAACCAAAAAAAAAAAACATGTTGCTTTTTTTAAAAGTACCAATCCTTTCCAGTTCAGACAGTATAAAAACTGCACCAAGAAGAATTTTTAAAAAGAATGTGAGAATCTTTAAATCAGATAACCTGTATGGACTTTTGGACTTCTGAAACTGAAATAAACTATATTTCCTTATAGACAACCAGATAAACATAGCACAGCACTTACTTTGAAACGAGGGTGACATGGCGTCTCTTCCAATGCCTCGCCCGCGTCCACCACCTCGGGCTCCACGGCCCACACCACGTGTGCCTCCGCGACCCCGACCTCCCCGTCCTCCTGCCTGGAAGCTGGCACCAGGCTGGCTCATGCTGGTGCGGGACGCGTCTGTTGGGCTGATGGGGGTAGAGGCAGATGAGGTCACAGCAGGGTTTTGACCAATCATGTTGTCTCGCCAGTTCTGTGAGTCGGGACCAGCTGTGCAAAGAAAGGAAAACCAGAATGTAAAACATAAAACACACAAAAAGGAATTCTTTTACAGCAAGATCAGACTGACCATTTAACTACTGCCTGCAGTCTTTTTCATGTACAAAAATTTGAAAAAATACCCTACTCACTAAAATAAAAACAAGATATGATCAAAATGTTCACATGGCAACAGAAAACATTGTGCTTTTGAGTTTCTTAGCATATCCAAATGACAAGAAAAATGCAAATTAAGTTTTGTAAGCTGAAACAAAAACCCATTTGAACTACACTACAACCTCGAATAAAAATAAAAATCTCTCATAGAAGTATATATTCAAACATATTTTCGCTAGAGATAAAAATTCCGGAAAATTAAAGAGTAACTCTTCTTGAAAAGACAACTGGACGACTGAGAAAGCCGCCAAGATTTAGCCAAACCGTACCGTCAGCTCTGCGGCTATCAGGGCGATTCACACGCTCTCCGGCTCTCCTCCCATCCCGTCGGTTGGGGGAAAACCTCCGACCTTGACTTCTGCTTCGTCTGTTGCGACGGTCTGGCTTGGGATGATCGATCTCCATCCTTTGCCATTTTGGTTTTGCTCCTGAAATTTGAAACAACAAATGAAACAGAACGAACAGAGCGGAGAGCCCCTTCCTCCTCCCCAATTTTTTTTCTCATAAAGCTGGGTGCTTTAAAAAAAAATGAAAGACCCCTAAAATACATACTCAGATAAGCTTTTACCCTCATGAAACATAAAAAAAATATGTAGCCATGGCTCGTAAACTGCCAGTGGCTGTTGAAGTTTTGCTCTTTCACTGACAGTAAGTTGAAGAGTCAAGATTAAAATCCTTCTGCTGCAACAATAAACACGGTAAACATTGAGTTTATCCAATCAGACACCCAGTGGACTTAAAACCCATTTGGAAGAGACATTTGACTCTTAACAAAATTGTAAAATGTCATGACAAAAAAATTTTTTGGTACACTACTACTTTATCAAAAATAAATCTATTTGTTCCCAAATCAATCCAAGACTTCATTCATTACTAAGAAGTGAAAGAGGGGATTTTTTTTTTAAATTACAGTTAAAATCTCGCTATCAAACCACATAAATAATACATTTCTTAATCTAAAGAAGAAGAAAAAATTTCACGGAAACATTACACCCACCACCCCCAGAACTGATGCAACCGTATTTGAATATTTAAAAAACCCTGATGCACAACGTACAGCACACATCAACAACCCCCCCCCCCCCCCAATAATAAAATAAAATAAAAAACAAACCTTTCTTGCTTTTGACAGCATTATTGGACTCATCCCCATTGGCTGTGTTTTCTTTATTTTCCTTTGAGGAGTCGTCTCCTCCTGAATCAGCCTGAGACTGAGCAGCAGCAACCTGCAAAATACAATAGCCATGCCTGAAAGTGTTGAAAGTGACTTAACACTGAACACTAAAGAGAAAGGTACACATCAAAAGAACCCACCAACCAAATGCCCAATGCTCAAGGAAAACATTATTACATTTTAGGATCCACTCAAATGGACACCACCATACCAGCAGTAAATCAGCCCCCCAATTCATCAGGAAAATGGCAAACTTTCCCACCAAAAGAACAGATAGTCTCACTGAGACTGCTTCAATTCAATTCTGAATTTGCACCACAGGATGCAGTAGTCTGAAGTGTTCTCAAATTTCGTACTAAAGGAGATTTAGGACCATAATAACACAAAAACAAACAAGTAAATTAATGTTTTAGTCTATCTCATATGCACACAATGAGCCTTGTACTTGGGATAATAATCGATAGCATTTTTATAGCGCATATCCCCGCTCAACAGCAGGCTCTATGCGCTTTACACTATATTAAAACTATTTGGGAAGCAGTTCGCTGCCAAGCTGCTTTGAAAGGGAAACCATCTAACTAGCAGTACCACAAAGCCTACAGACAGGTTGAACTTGAATTCGATTGCCTTAAAAAAATTGTACTTTTATTTGAAGAAAAAAAAATAATCACAAGAACAAACCGCTCTTTACCTGAACATCTGCACTTTCCGCGGCCCTTACAGCATCCCCATCAAGGGCAAGTTTCTGGTCCACACCATTGGCCATGTTGGCTGGAGCTGTGCTGGCCGCAGTAGACGCGCCACCCGCACTGGCTGGCGCACCAACAGAAGAGCTTCCCTTCGCTTTTGGGGAACGAGGGGTCTTGCTCTTCATTGCCTGGTTCTGTGCGAAAGAGAAGCAAGCAGTTATTTCAGTCTGGTATTCAAAGATACATAAAAGAATTGGTGCAGCATATCCAATGAACAGGTTTTACATCGCACTAAAATTTTGGCTCGCGAGTCTACTTGCATGTTATCTGCCCATGCGGCCAATACACAATAATAGAGAGTATGGGCACAATCTTAAATGAAGTGTGTACTTGCAAAATGTATGTAATAATTTGGAATTTTTTGCCAGCCCTACAGCGAGCAAATGTAAGACGGTAGTGAAACGAATTAATATTCTCACTTCCCATACATTAGAACACATAAACACAAAAAAAATAATAATAATAATAACACACAAAAAACAAAAATGACGCAACGTCTACCTCTGACACTTTGACTTCGTTCAAGGCCGGCCAGTTGTCATCCGCTAGGGCAGGAGAGGAGGGCGTGGATGAGCCAGAAGCTGGCAGGTTCACTGTTGCCTGGAGAGAGTAAATATAAATGTAACTTTGGTCAATTTTCATGTGTTTTAGTAACTGTTTAACAACACTTGCAACAAAATTAGGCGACATAAGCGCCAAACATAAGAGGTATTACTGGAACTTTACATAGAAAAGACAAGGATGATAGAAGCTCGATAGGAGAGAAGGAGCAAACCACTCCAGAGCACTCGCCAACCACCCACTAATTTGTGGACTGTCTGTACTTCCTTTCAATTAACCAATTACAATCATAGGAATGAATAACCCCACCAACCAAATCTCTGACTGAAAGCCCACGGCAAACAAACTAAAAGTGTAACAATTTTTTATTTTTTTTTTGGTGTGTGTGTGTGTGTGTGTGTGTGTGTGTGTGCGTGTGTGTATGAGTGTGTGCGCGCACGCGTGGCACGCAATCTGCACAGCAGGCATGTCCACTCGCAACTGAATGAAAATGACCCTGACCAATGACAAATTAAAAAAATTGTTTCACTATCCACTGAGTTCCAGTTTCCTAACTTGACCCCAAGTCTTATCCCCTTATCGTTCGACGTGTTGGTACAACCATCTCCAACAATGTGTGTGAATGTGTGTCTACCCTGAGTAACCATTTCCAAAAATAAGTGTGCAAGTAAAGCACTGGAGACCTAAAAAAGAAAATCACTGGGGCTTCTTCAATGGATGATCCCTACATTTGACACTACCTAACCTCTCATACCTCACGTTTACACATGACCTCTAAAAATGAAAGAGATAGGACTACTGATAAGCTTAAATCCCTTCAAATGTAAAATGTAAAGACATGAAGAACAAGATAGCAAGGTACCATAGAAATCTGATAAGAACTTTTAGTAAAGTGTACTTCCTCGACAAAAGCTTCATACAAAAACCATTTTCTATATTGGCAAAGCTGTATTTTGTTTAGACATATGAAAAGACTAGTAACAGTAACATTCAGAACATAAATCTGTAAAATATTAATATTTATTGACATTGATCCAACTTCATCCCTTTACAATATTGTCAGACATTTACCAGACTGTCTGTAAATATTTCCCACTTCTACGGACAATATATGTAATTTAGGGAATCTCTGCTCTTGTGACCACATCCCAACACTTGCACTTCTGCCAATTCGTATAAATGCTATTATTTTTACTGTATATGTATATATATATCTAAACCACACAGAAAAAACAAAAACAACCCCCCCCCCCCAAAAAAAAAAACCTAGCAGGAAGGCAAACACTTTTTTCCTTACCTTACTAGGTAAACTATCATTCGAGGCATGGTCTGGGGGTTTTGATTCCTTTGAAGGATCTGCAAGAAGAGAAAAAAAAACATATTACAGGTCAAACTGGAAATACTAGCCAACCATTGCCAGCACTGAGAATTGAGGTTATACAGAACAATAGGCCGAAAGCCAATTAGAGAACAAAAATTGCCAGGCATGTCACATCTTATATCTAACCTAAAAATCTAACTGCTGGTCAATCAAATCTAATCCATGATTTAGGGTCGGTACACACAACAACACC